CGTTTGAATTTTCATGCCACATTATTTGAAATTAGCGCGGGCCAATCTTTTTTCTCTCGCGGGCCGCCTATTGAGGTACCCTGTTCTAGTTGATGTGACAATGTCATAATGATTTTGTAATTCTGCCTTTTATGTCAGAATTATGATTTTTATGCATAAATTATTATTATTATTAATGTGGCAGAAATGGGGTTCTATAACTTTCTTTGTTGACAGTACTTTTTTTTGCTCATTTTTAGAATAATGTTAGATGTAAGCTATAAACCTTTAAAATAAACTAATTTCATTTATTTACTGTTAATAAGTTACTATGTTAACTTTAATATCCTTAAAAGATACATTTTATAAACATTTTCACACACACAAAAAAACCTGGACCACATTTTTTAAAAGCCCTGGCTTAGAGCATTTACACCTTCAAAACCGTTGGTAGTGCTTTTATCAATATTTCAACCACGTCTAGAGGTTGCTGCTGGAGCAATAAATCAGAAATGTGCAGTGGCAAAGGGTTTTAATGGCTATTTTATAGCTCTACACTTTAATTTCTCCCAAAATTGTTGTAAAGTCTCTGTGACTGTGGAATGCAGCTTACTGTTCTAAGAACTGAAAGTATTATCTTTCTAAGAATTCAATTATTTTTTTTTTAGCTGTTTCCTAGATTACTTCATCTCCTTGTTTGATTAGGCACTGCAGTTGTAAACATTTAACAGTGAGTCAAGGACCAAAGATGATCTATTTCTCTTTAAACCCAACCAGACTCATTTGGATGTCCATATAGTTTAGACATATCTGCCATACCTCTGTTAGCTGTCAGATGGATCCAAGCACTGCAACAGCAATTTTTGACAGATGTTATTTGAGGGAGTTTATTTGGGCTTGGGAGTGTTACAAAATCAGAATTCTTCAGCTCTAAATCATTCTAAGTATGTGCTTGTGCTTTGTGTCATAAGGACCACTGGAACTGAAAAGTGCTGAAGGTGTAAAGCCGGGTGTCTTCTGTCTGTACAAGCAGTTTTGCTAGATCAGCAGTTAGGAGAAATATTCCTTGCCAGTAACAAAATTGAGACTGATGAACTATTACTTGAGAGGATGGTGGGAAATACTAAATAATGGACAATTTGATAAAGTAATTTTGTGCTGGTTTTTGGGCTCTCTTTATTATTACATATAATATTTAATTAAAATTTTAAAGAAGGCAATAGGGATGTCACGATACCAAATATCTTGTAGTCGGTACTGATACCACCAAAAGTACACGATACTCAGTACCCAAATCGATACTACAGTAATAAAAGAACAATAATACTTTAACATTTTAACCCTTTAACATTGCAAAAACACAACATTAGTGGCACTTGGCCTTCAAATAATAAATAAAATGAAACCGTTCAGCATAGTGTTGACACGTACATTGAAACCTTTGATGCTCTTCACAGACACTCAAACAAATACGGGAGCATTTGAAAGCAGCCGCCTGTCAGCGGGTACTACCGGTACTGGAAAGGCAGGTTTCGTTGCGTTTTTAAAATTTAAGTATTGACTTGGTACCCAAGTACCGGTACTTTTGACAACACTAGCAGGCAATGTGTGTAAGATATTTGGAGTTCTCATGGTTTTGCAATACTAATGTTTAATGATTAACCTATTAATCGATTGTTAAAGGGATAGTTCACCCAAAAATAAAAATGTTGTCATCATGTACTCACCCTCATATCTACTTTTATGTGCCATAGAAGAAAGGAAGTCATACAGGTTTGAAACATTTACTGTAGAGTAAATGTTGACAGAATTTTAATTTTATGGGTGAACTATCTCTTTAATTTTAGTGTCAGTTGATTATGAATAATTTTGCAAACTTGTAACATGTAAACATAGCTTGCTTTTTATTAGCCATTTTGTTGCACTAATGTATCTTGTTATTCTTTCCAGGCAGTCCAGACTCCTCATCCTACTGGGAAGGATGGGTGTGAAAACCTTCACTCACAACTCCCCCAGTCACAGCCAGGAGCTTTTGGATAAGCTCAACACCCTACGCAGTGAGGGCCACTTCTGTGACGTCACTATTCGCGTACAAGGCCAGATGTTCTCGGCCCACAAGGTAGTGCTAGCTTGCTGTAGTGACTTCCTTCGAGCAAAGCTCTTTGGGAAGCCGGCTGAAGATGACACTGTAATTGTAGGCGAAGATAACAAACATGTGCTAGATCTCCAACACGTGACGGTCGCCGGTTTCGCTCCTCTTCTGGAATATGCTTACACATCCACCCTGTCCATTAGTACGGAGAATATCATCGATGTACTAGCAGCAGCTAGCTACATGCAGATGTTTGCGGTGGCCAACACTTGCTCCGAGTTCATGAAGTCCAGTATCCTGTGGAACTCGGCATCCTCGGGAGCAGGAGGCCCTGGTAGCATCCAGCCTCCAGTTTTACACAGGCCCAAAGAAACCCCTGAAGGCCATGCGAGCTGCACCCTTGCCCCTGTAGATGCCCTCTCGCTGTCTCCGGTCTCGTCTGAGTGCAGTGTACCGGAGCGGCCCATCCCTGTGTGCCGCGAGTCTAGACGCAAGCGCAAAGGCTTTGCGAGCCCGCAACTAGCATCCTCAACCTCTCCACAAGTCCCCAACCCCTCTCCATCCTCTTCCTCCTTCCCAGAGAGTTCAACCCAGGCTCTGGAACCATCTCTGACCTTCTCCTGGACATACCCCTTTGGTGTGGACCGGCGGTTTGCGTCAGATAAGTCAAAACTACCCGAAGGTCTCCTGGAACCATCTGAAGGGGGGCAGGACTCTAGTGGACGGGCATTGGTGGAGTATCTGGCTTGCGAGGGCCCACGCGGCCTGGGCGTAGGGGGCGTGGCAGGGGTGGAGGAGGAGGAAGAAGAGGATGTGCAGGTGAAGGTGGAGAGGCTGAGTGATGAAGAAGTGCATGAAGAAGCTTCTCAACCAGTC